TCTATCTATCTATCTATCTATCTATCTATCATCTATCAAATCTCTCAAATCTGTCAGTATGTCAATATGTCTGTCTGTTTGTGGGTACATTTGTATGATTGTATGTGATCTCTTGGTACATATATTTGTATCCAGAGGTAAAAAAAAAAACTCCAGAGAAGCATCAATGAAATACACTTAAGAGATATATGGATCATGTTTTTGGTTGTTGTTTATTTTTTACTTTTCCTGACTCACACCTTAGTAAAATGAGATGTTATGTGATATGTGATCCTTTACACTGCTATGTGAAGTACAGATTTTATGGAAATATGCAGAAAAGTATCGGAAAATAAAAAAAAACTAAAAACGGGAAAGGGTTTCTACTCTGTGACCACTGATTCATAGAAGACCTCTATGCTTGAACTTTTTAAGTGAAACTTTTTTCCCCCTGTCATTGCTGTCAGGTCTCTGGGTGCTCAGTGCAACCAAAACCAGCTCTTTTTGGAGTGAAGTGACTTCTCTGGAACACGCTTTGTACTCGGTGACATGGAAGACTGGGCCTGGATGAGGTTCTTCACTCCCCTCTCTTCAGCTTTGTTTTGACTAGCGTGCCAACTCTATGACACCAAAGGAGCATACCAAGCAGGAGATGCCTTTGAAAGGACAGATGTTCCTTAGCTTAACCTGCCTCCTGCCCAAACTGCTACTCTCCTTCTCTGTTGTATATTTGTTCTTGCTCTATAAATAATCAACTGGTGTAAGTCACATAAAAAATGTAACTGATGTTCTGCTGACCTCTGAGCCCCATGTCTTTGGGAGAAAAAGAGGAAACGTTGGCAGGAGAAAGGTTGACTGACTAGGTCATGGTAAATGATTTTGAGCAAAAGGGCAAATGGAATGAACACCTCTCTGTTCTAGTAAGGACTACAGTAGGTGTCTGGTTTAGCTGTCCTCCATAAAGAAGCATTTTTGATTAAATATGATCGATGAAGTATGATGATCTCCTGCTTTGACATGACAATCTGGTGACTAATTAAAAAAAACCAGCTACATTTTGTTAATTTTCTCACAAATAAAAATAAGAAATACTGCAACTCTTTAATACAACATGCATATTAGAGTCCAATTAAAAAGTCTTTTTACAAGATTTGTGGGGTTGCAGAGCATTTGCCCTCTTGCTGTGGCTACAGGGATGAATGGGTGATTGTTCGTTGGCCCTTGTGATAGCTCTCCTGGGGCCCATCAATTCACCGAGGCTCCTGAAACATCAGGTCATGGCTAACTCTTGCTCAGAGGCTGCAGCTCGTCCACACACGAGCTGATTATGCCCTAGCTATAGCTCAGGACCTCCAGGGTGCACAGCTGGGTCCCTTAAAAAAAGCCTAGCTGAACGGTTTTAGAAACACTCCAGCTCCTCTTACCAAGTACTCACTCTCCACCGAGAACACTCAGAACACTGCAGATATCAAATATTGTTTTTTTGTCTGTTCTCTTTTGCTTGCCAAAGCCGCTGGAAACCGTATTAAAGTATGTGTTCCATATTCTTAACTAACAGACCTAGAATTCTTTCCAAAATTTCCATCTTGTTTCTACTTTCCTGCTGGTAGTTTTTTTTTCCTTCACAGCTCCACTTTTACCTTCTCTTCCAAACTTTGCTCACACACATCTTAATTTTCTCTCTTTTCCCTCCCGCAGCACTGCTATCATGTTGTATCAATTACAGCTGACCGCCAGTCAGGTGGGTCTGCAAGAGATTTCAGATCACATAGAGGCGAACAGATCGCTCTGTGCCTCCACCCTACTCTAAAGACTACTACCTCAGGCCCTGCTGAGGTCTAGTCCTGGGCAGCACACAGAGACACCTGGCCAAACCACAGAAACTCTTCCAACTGCAGACTGCCTGATGCTCACCATGGAGAGAATTCAGGCCAAAGGTGGAGGAATTCACCAAGCGCTACTGCACTATCTTTGACATTTCTCTGGGTTTGAATTTATTTTTTATTGCTTTGCAAAAAGTATTTCTAAGCCTTAAAAATTTTCCCCAATGTATCATGGCAACAAGTTTAAGGTATTCTAATAGGACTGTATGTAGCAAAGTAACACAAAGTTTTCACATCAAAAGAATGATTTATTCTTAAAAAAAAAAAAAAAAAAAAAAAAATCTAATTTTATGAGGATTTCTTGTTTCTGCTAAAGAAACTACATTTAATCAAAAATATAGTTTCTTGGAGGACTATGTACAGTGTTAATTTTTTCAACAGTGGGTGTATTCTTGTACATTATTCCTAAAGATGTAGTGTTACATTAATAATATTAATAATATAATTAATTGTATATCTAAACTTCAGATCTCTGAAGCGTTGCTTCCCTTTGCCTAAATTTAAGTTTAAGCATAAGCATACAGTATCATGGTAGGCATACACTGTGCCATACTGTTTCTGTTTCCAGATGATGGATTAAACAGAGCTTTGTGAGATGTTAGAAATTTGGAATAATCTCTAATCATTTAAAATATTTGCATTAGTTAAAAGATTATACTTTTCTTTTAAAGCTGAAATCCTGATTATAAGATTTTAATGATAATGTGATGGAATGTGAAAAAAAAACTACACAATTATGGACAAATTTTTGAGAGAACACTTATTTTCTGTTTTAATTGGTTTAAATTTTAAGTAAAATACCTTTGAAAAAAGAAAAATAGGAAAACAAGATTGTCCAAATACTTTTTCAGTGACTTTATCTCCACAATTGAATCAAGAATCTTTTAATTGCCTTAAAATTAAAGTCCACCAAGGTACATAAAATAGGACTCGATATATTCCTTCAGACACCTCCATTATGAGTGCAAGTCAGGCAGCACACGTATCATCTGCAAAAAAGAAAAGGAGAACAACCTTTCTTTTCTGTTGGAACAGCTAACATGAAAGGCCACATTTTGTCTGAGATTAGAGGCAATTACACTTGGAGTGCGCTTTAAGACCTTTGTTTGCCAACATGACAGGAGGGAGCAGAGGTGTAATTTGATGAGGCTGCTGCACGAGTGAGAAACTCTGCATGGCAGGCTCCCGATGGACAGAGGAAAAGAGAGGGCTTTGTTCTCTCGTCTAATGTGGAAACTGGCCGAAAGGTACAAAAAGTTATATTAATTTGATTTTCAATGAGAGATCAATGATTTAAATGATTCAGTTTAAAAAGGAATTTTCACAGCCTTTGAAGAAACACTTTCATCTTTGTTATTTGTTCCAGACGATGGATCAAAAGCTGATATCTATTGTTTCACCATGTACATAAATCTAAATGTCACAGTCAGACAGGTTCATTCATTTGTCACAAATACTGTAAACATGTGAGTCAGCTTTAACCTGCGGGCGCACAGAAGCAACACCCCAGATTTTGAAGACGTGACATCTTCTCCATTTTGGCCCAGAGCATTGTTTTAAGGAACCGAAGGTTTTTCAGGACAGGAAACATGCAGCTTGTTCCAGACCGGGCAGCAGAATGGAGCACGTCTTTATTTAGGGGAAGTCATTCCGTTAATATATAAAACACCAAAGTAGCGTTTCCTTCCTCCTAACTTTCCTGGTGCTGTCCCCTTCAAAAGGACCCCGTCCTTTATACTAGACTCACATACACACACAGGAGCAAAAGAAAAACAAACATAGACATTTCAATATCAACCAACAGCCCTTCTGTTTGAACCAAAGGGGCTACTGCACAGCTTGGCCTGAAGATCTCCAGTGTGCAGATGTGAAGCCTTCTGAGAAAAACAACCTGAGACATGGCAAGAAGTAAGCAATGCAATTGATTCAATTAATTCAAAGGTTATTAAAAATCAACAGAAAATCTTAAACTGTAATAGCTTTTGTCATAAATAAAAAAAACAAAGTAAGCTCCATGGTCCTATTTTTTAATCTTACACTTTAAATTAGCCCTATGCTATTAGAAATTTTGACCATATGAATGCCTAAATCTAAAATAGCTTACCACTTTTTTTGTGTTAAGGGAATTTTAACACAAAAATCAAAAGCAAAAATATTTACACAGTCAAACTTTGAACTGAATCTGATAAACCCTACAGCAACTAAAATGATATATATATATATATATAAAAAAAACATTTGTTACAGTTAAAATAGTTGTGTTAAGAATTTATTAATGCTTACCAATAGTTTGAATAATTTTTTTTTTACGGACAGATAAAAGCAAAAATGTGGAACAATAAATAATTGGAGTAGGAGAGGAATGCTAGCAGTTAGGCCATGGACAGATCTTTTGAGGTGGAGGATTTTTTCAACACCAGACGTTGAGAGAGGCTTTGCGGAGCCGTGAGCGATAGACGTGTCCGTTTGAACAGCTTGGTCAAGGCATTAACATAGTGATAGCCAGTGCTGCAGAGGCGGTGGAGTCAAGGCAGTGTAAGTTTATTTATTATTAATACTTGTATAACACATTTCAGTTACAAAAAATTCAAAGTATTGTGCATGAACAAAGCATAATAGCGGAGCTTAAGGTAACTCACCACAGAGGCGTATGTTTATTAGGGGGCGGCTTCTGTGCTTCTGTAGATGTGTACCAATACATACTGTGTGAAACAATGCTTTGAAACAACCCTTCATTTTATGATGGCATGGTTTTAAAAAGGTATTGCAGAATTAAAAATCTCAAATGAAGGGGTGAAACAATGCACATATAAATTAAAATGGTACCCCAGTTTATACAGTTTAAATGAAAGAAGTGGATTTATAGGTAGGCTACACTTTTACAGTAAAGCCACCTGTCATAATTTCAAAGCCTTCGTGTAATACTGTTTGGGATGGGTTAAACTTTCAAGTTTACACAAAATGGCTGTCCAGTTCTGTTCTGTTTGTCAAATTGCGCAATGGACTCCCATAGTATATCCTCTGCTGTGTGTTATAGTCCACTTGCAAGAAGTAACATTTGAATAAAAATCAGACCAAACGAAAAACATTAGCTTCACTTGTTCTGGAATCAAACAAACAGACCAAATTACTTTTCTGGTGTGAATACACCCTAAGTGCTTACAGAATATAGACAATGTTTACTTAAATTGTGTGAGGAGCCGTAGATGGGTAGTAGAGGAAATGTAAAATGTACTGGAGATGCTTCTACAAGGTCATGGATATAGACAAAAATTGGAAAAAACAAAAATCAATGCCCAGCAACAAGTGGGAAAAGGGTAGCACTGTGTTACTTTATGCTATGTACCGCAGTGTGGTTACTAAAGTTAAAATTTAGGGTTTTTGAGAATGAATAAGAGAAAGGTTATGAGATCATCCAAGGAAATCAAGATAAACAAAGAACATAATAATGGTTTGGACATTTTTGAATGACGGTATAGAGCATTTCATTGCTTTATTAGTATTAAGTTTGTAAAATTAACAACAGAGGAACCCTCTCACAATGTAATTTCTTAAACATGGAGCAAAAAAGCTTTGCCTGTCTTGTACACTTTTTGCCTAAATTTCCCATAAGGAGGTGTGTGCAAGAGGAGGAAAAAGACCACCTATTAAAGTGAAATCTTAGGAGTGATGGATGGGAGCCTGTTGAGGGGGGAGCAGAGCAGCCTGCTTACACCCCAGGGGAGAGAGATGATGAACAAGGAGGGGGGAGGGAAAGGAGCGGGTGGAGTATAGGCAAGGGAGAGTTCACAAAATATAAACTCACACCTCTCACTGCGGGTGTAAGGGATGGAGACCTCCCATGCTGTCTGAATTAGAAGTTACACTGATACACCCTCATTCAACTACTGCATTTTTCTCTTAATATTTAAATGTCATCTCAGATGTTAGATGAAAGTAGTATCTATCATAAGTAGGCAAGATTGACTTACAGTTGTTTTTGTGTGTATAGATGGAGCTTTTTAGTCATACATTTTATAATAATTCTTGGCAAAATCGAAGGACACATGCCACTAAGTATATATCGGATCTGTACACCTTTGTTTAAGTGGTGGGAGTAAAATAAAGTCTTTTAAATTCTGCTGTATTATTATACCTTATGTAAAATGCATAGGACTGTTTTTTTTTTTCATGAAACAGTTCAACCATTTTTTCTTTTATTTTTTTGGTAGTCCTCAAAAAAATCCCTAAAGAAAAGAATCCACACAGTATTACACTGCCACCTCCTTGTTTCACCATTAGGTTGGTGTTTTAGGGTAATGGAGATTTTAAATTTTCTGTTCCATGTTTAAAACAAAAAGTGCTAATTGGATGGGTTTCCATCTGGTTTGTTGGAATTTAACCAGGTGTGTTATCATTATGCTTTTTTTCATGCTATGTATTAAAATGCACATAGAAAAACATTGATGGAAACAAGTGTGTTGTTCTTTAACAAACCCCCAAATCAGAATCAGAATCAGAATCAGGTTTATTGCCATTGTTAGAGAAGGAGTTCACAAACTAGGAATTTTTTATGGTACAATCGTGCAACATGAAACCTATACTATGGAATTGGTAAATAAAATTATAAAAATATCTAAAAATACTTTAAGGGGTACTGATAGATCAAATATAACATTATAACTCTGCATATGCTTTATTTTCTCCACTTTGATTGTTTCCTTTTTTCTTTATTCATCCCTGTTTTAATTATTGTGTCAGACCAGTTTACTGTAAAAGGCACTAATTTTGAGTTTGGCTCTTGCAATTTTCCTTATTTTTAAGTTAAAAGATTTGATACATAACAGTGCATTCCTACCGCTGAGTTTGAAACATTGTCAAACTATAGTAATACAGGCAAAATACTGCATATGACTGCAGATGATCATTGCTGTAAGATAAAGCAAAAACCAAAAGCAGAATCCACCCTTTTGATCTGTGCAATATAAATCAACTTCTTTAACATTAAATTATCAAAGAAGCAAATGGAGAAGCTGCAGCCTTTGGTGTTTAAGAATTACTGGAGCAGTAGGTTGACTTTAACTGTCAGGAAATGACCCATAATCTGCAAGCGTTTGACTGCTGCAGCATTCCTGTGAAATGACACAAGTTGAGGTAGATTAGGGGTTGGGTAATTAGCTCATTAGTCAACATAAACACATGGCAGGGCTCCCCCATTTTTACACACCCTGCCAGTCCCCTC